ATAAACTCAGCCTTTCCAAGAAGGACACATTCCTGAAAAAAGAAAAGGAGGCCTACTGCACAGGTATGTGGAACATATGTGGTGCTGCTCAGTTATTGTTACCTCCTGCTCCGTTCAGGGCTTGTGCAACAGGTTTTCCAAAGCAGGAGACAGGAAGGGGTAGAGGAGGTAGGACAGAAGCAGGATGGAAAGCAAGAGAGAGGTGGACAGGAAGGTTAGAGACGGGGGTCATGGGACTGCATGGTAAGACAAATAACAGAGCAGGAAAGAAGGCAGAAGGAGCTGCATGGAATGCAAGAGCAGCGGGTATGGAGAAAGAAGGCACTGGGAACGGAGCAACAGATCATGGGAGGGGAGTGCAAGGCAGCAGATGTGGAGCTGTGTGGCGCACAGTAGGGACCCGGTGCAACCTTTTCTTGCAGATTCAGCTTGTGTGTGCGGGTTCTATGATAGAAAAACACACATGCACAGGCTGGCAGAGTGCTAGACCTCATGCCACTTCCAAACTCCAGAAGTTCAAATATGCATGCAGCCCATGTAGGATGCTGTGACTTCCGTCATCCATGCCTGGTATATTCCCATTCAAATTGCTGTAACACATAATGCACGGGGCTCCCCGTAAAGACAGCTCAGATGCTTCATTTAGCACCAAATATGACATAGGCAGTACTGACTAGAATTGGCATTATCATCCTATTTCTGGCTCCAGGTTTGTGTGCAGGCTCAGCTCAAAGTGCTGATTTTACTCCCCAAAGTCCTTCATGCCTTAGGGACAGAGTACCGGAGGAACACTTTTTCCCATATATTGCAGCCCATGGGACAAGATCATCATCAGAGGCCCTGATCTGAACAACACCATAGACTAAAATTCAGCAGATGGACACTTGTGGTGAGTGGCCTTTTTGGTGGGAGCCCTCACAACTGCAGGCATCGTTCAAGTGCCACATGAAGAAACTTTGATTCCCTCAAGCACTTTAGCTTGTTTTACATTTTACTGTTCAGTTGTAGCTTAAAGATGTATCTTTGAGCTCTTTTTATTTCTCTGGATATTTTTATTCTTTTTTTAGTAATTGCTGCTTTTCACAAGTTAGTCTTCACTATTTAAAATTATGTTTGTGGGTGCTGTTTGTTTTTAATTGCATTTAATTGAATTGTATTATGTTTCATGTTGACTTCTTGTATGTCCCCCTGAGAGTTTCTGGCTGTCAAGGAAACAGTAAGTTGAATAAATTGATGATGAAGATGATAGTAGTAGTAGTTAGTCATGGTAATTGTTTAGTTGTGTTAGTGAAACCTGCACCATAATGATGCAGTGAAAATTCTACCACCAAGAGGAGTGATCAACTTGGAATAGGATCCTGGAGTGACAACACTATCTAGGCCTGACAGGAATGTGGGGTACACAGCCTCAAATAATGCATTTTGCAGTTTTACTGAAGCAAGGGGCATGCTCAAGTGAGCAGGAAAGAGAAAGTGTGGGTTAGGATTCCCCTTTCTTTCCTCCTGAAACATCCCTGCATTTTGCAAAAAGTGCCATTTGTAACCTCATAGTCTACATTAGCTATGCCTAACTCCACACCCTCCAAGATATTCTTCCTTCTCTGATACACATTTTAAGTGTCTCCTCCTCCTCTACTCTAATAACATTTCATAAGATCCTGGAAAGCTCTTAAGTCTTTGTCACTCCTACAGAGGGAATTGTTATTTTTCCCTTTTACTTTAATATTTTCAAACTTAAATATTTCTGCTCACCTAGGGAGAGCCTAGATACAGAAAGATACAGAGCTTAGATACAGAAAGCACTACTTTATGCTGGTTGGCTCAATTTCACTCCATTTCTTTTTCCAATTGTCAAAGAAAAAGAACCTTCACTCTGCATTTAGGTTCATTCAAGCAAGCAGGTTTAATCAAGTCTGCACACCAATAATTGGAGGAGAGAGAGTTGAAACTGACAGATGTCCCATGAAAGCAACACGTGTTTCTCCCCACAGAGGAAAGCCCCGTGCTTACATGATATTCCTTGGTTATACAGAGGGAAACAGGAACTTATCCAATTACTATGGAAAGCAGACTATAGTAACCACAGTTGCACCAATTAACAAACACTTATCTACTTGCTTTGATGTTAATTTGCAACAGGCACAGACTCCATCTTGTGTCTAAACAAAATGTGAGACAGAACAGACACAGACTACATCCCAGGTTATAACACGGAGGTGTGATTGACTACATCCTGAGTCTTCTCAAGAATATGTACTAATTGCCTTATCAGTACATACATATGGGCTTCCTTTTCCACCGGGCCTAGTTTACCAGAACATTCTACACATTCAGCCTGAGTTTGCAGTTAGAAGTAATAATAGTAAAATATATTTGAAAGTAAAAAGTGCTGAACAAGAGGGAATATGAGGACTTTGTTTCTATTTTTTTTTTTTTAATCTTTACTGATGCGGGCTGCCCTTTGCAATTGTAGCATGGCACCACCATCAAAGTGTGTGGCATTTTACAGAAAAATTAGAAGTTCTGCATAGAAGCAACAAGCCGAGGTGAATAGGGGAATAATTTGGGTTTATTCAGTTATACAGAAGTTTCCAGGTAACATTACATGTTTGCTTAAATACTGGAATATATTGCTTCCAATGGTTTTAATTTAGTTAGCACAGCCCCCTATCTGGATCAAGACCACGGTGTATAGAGAGGGGAGGTTTAATCATTCCCTGCCCAGCTGTGACCCCCCCACCAACCTCACGTGGCCCTACATTTTGGTAGGGACAGGGGTCCTGCACTGGGTCACAGCTCCAGAGGAAAGGGTTAAACTTCCAGTCCAGACTGAGGAGAGGCATGTACTTAATTCTGAAGACACAAAAAACAGGGAGCTGACCACCACATAATATAACAGTGGAGTCTGATTTTCATGTAAAGCTTGGTGAGAGCATTCTACTGTAGTTGAAATTGGGGTCCCGGTCATGTCCTGATCTTGATCTTGATCTTGAAGCTGGATCAGGGAGGTGGTAGAAGTTCAGTGGTAAAACAGACGTTCTGCATGCAGATTCAGTCTCTAGCATCTCCGGGTGGGGCTAGAGAAACTCCTGCCTCAGACACTGGATCACCACTGCTGCTGTCAGTCAGTGCAAACAAAGCTGAGCTAGATTGGCCTGGCTGGATATCAGGCATCAACCAACTCGTTTGTGCCAAAGACTTCATATAGAAAGTGAGTTTGGAAGGAAGGAAGAAAGTCAGGTAGCATCACATGGATGTTCCTGGATGCCATGTCAGGGATGGGGAGCAGCAAGAGGAAAGAAAGGATAGAGCAGAGGATCTTAAGATGGCTGGAGGTGGTACTGCTGAGAACACAAAGGGATGTACTGGGATAGGGAATACAAAGAGAGGTAGCAGTCCATTTAGTTATTCATTCATTTATTTATTCAACTTCTATTTTGCTATTAACCAGTCCAAGGACTCTCTAAGTAGATTAAAGGTACAGTGGAGAATCTAATTCATATGAATAATAATGTTCAGTATTTCTGCATTTTAATGACTCTAAGTCCTCAGAGTAGTTCCATGCAAGCCTAGGGATAGGGGAAATTAATTCACTTTATATTTCAATGTAAAGCCATCTTATTCTGCATTTTTGAACCAATATTGAACGAACCTCAGATATTCTTCAAAAGCTGTATTTCTCTGAATTTTGCATTGAGTAGCCCAATCAAGAAATGCATAAAATGTGTATGAGACAACATTCAAAATGCATTCTATTAGCATTACCTGCAAAATGTGCATATTAATATATACAAAATACATAAATCCAGAGAAATGCACTAAATACACACTCAAAAATTCATGCATTTTTTAAAACTTGCAAAGTCCAGGATGAATCAAATTTAAGACTGGTAAAATGAGAAATTGAAACTGACAGGTTCATCCATGCTTATATGTGTGACCCTACAAATGCTAAAAGGTTCCCCAGTGTTGTTTTATCCCATATTGTTTAGCATGGGGAAAGTGAAGCTAAAAGACTTTAGATTTGCCTAAGACAGTGGTATAGCCCTCCAAACATTTTCATCTGCATCTCCCATCCTCCCTCACCATTTGCTGTGCTGGCTAGGGCTGATGGAAGATGTAGTCCAAAAACATCTGCAGGACCGTAATTTCCCCACCCCTGCCTATGGTAAATTAATGACAGAGGTAAGCTTCATTAGACCAAGTGCAGAACGAAGGAGTGTTAGCACACTTGCTTGGAAATAAGTTGAACTGTTGGTTTCTATGGGACTACTAAATACATGCATTTAGCCATATAATTCAACTGTCTCAGGCTTACTGCTACCTTAGGTATTGTGGGAAGAGGAAAGGGATTTGATGCATGAGAAAACACTGACAAAAGCTTTTCCCATGCCCATCATGTATTAAATGCCGCCTAATTACTGTTAGACAGTGGCAGTTCCTGAAGCAGTACTATGCGTACTTTGCAACCTATGCAAGTCCCAAAGGGCCCTGAGCTATTCTGATTCCAGCAGGGCGTGTTGTGGGAAGCTGGGGCAAGAGGGCCCCTTGCTGCTGGAAGGAGGCGCAGCAGCTCAGTTTTGGCTTCTGCATCTTTAAAAACTGTCAGACGCATCCACACACATCCAAACTGTCTGTGCACCCCGCAGCCTTAAAATAACCCTTATTGCTAAGGCAATGGGTGAAGAATGGTGACAGGTGCTCCAGACACTTGCCAAGGCTGCCGAGGGGCGGGGGTGAGGCAGCGCCTGTTCCACCCCCCGGCCTCACCCTGACAAGCCGGGGTATTGGGTGGAGAAGGCAGGGTGGGGGGAGAGTGGTCGAGCAACTTTTTCAGCACTTCTCACAGCATGTTGACCTAAATAAGACCCAGGAGCAGCAGTGTGGAGCCCTCGCAGGAGACCAGGCTCTAAGCTCAGAGTGTCACAGACAGGGACTGGGCACCCTCTTTTGCAGCCAAAATAGATACCCTAAACAAGCAGCGTGGAGGGAAGGGGGTGATGATGTGGCCTAACTTCTTCCTTCAGGACGAGGAGCGGCGCATGGAGATGCGCGTGCGTGGAGCAGGCAAACGGCGCAAGGTCCTGACGGACGAGCAAGAGGGCAAAATCAAGCTGGCCTTTTTCGTGGCCATTGTGGGGATGACCCTGACAGTGGTGGCTGTGGGCACAGAATTCTGGGTGGAACTCAACACCTACAAGCAGAACCACACGGTCGTCTGTGAGGCCGCCCACTATGGCCTGTGGAAGTTTTGCTACAAGAAGCTCTGGATAAATGACGTGGAGGAGGAGAGAGCCACCTGTGGACCTGCAGAGCTGCCTGGAGGTAAACAAGTATCTTGATTATCTACCTATTTTCCATTCTCTCCCTTCCTTCTTCTCCCACTCACAAATCAATGCGTACCCCCTTAATAACCCTCACTCAGCTCCTTTAGAGACGGTCCCCAAAGGTTATGTTCACGTGATGCATTCCCTTTTGACTGGCCCATTAAACCTCTTCCATGGGCCTCCTTCCCTTCTACTTCCCATTTCTGTTATCTCCCCACATCTGCTCTATGTCCAACTTTTGCCCCCCACAGGTCACATGTGCTGCAGGTGGTAAGTCAAGTGCCACCTTCTGGTTGGTGTAGCCAGAAGAGGCAGTGGGTGGTGCTTGGGCTGCTTGTGGGTGTAGCCAGAGATGGCAGCTCCCTCGCCCTCCCACCTGCTAGCACAAACACACACCCTTGCCGCACACATAATCTTACATGCACGAACACACAACCTTCCTCCACTCAGACACAGACTTACACATTCACGGAGAGGACTGGTACATGATGCGGATTAAGCCTTCCCAAGCACTGTGCACTGTACACACTCGTTTGGTGGGCTGTGGCAAGCACAGTATTCGTGGGGGAAGGGCGTGTGGGAACAATCATTCCCACACACCATCTCCAACGAATATTGCATCATTTGACAGGCCGTGGGGAGCTTGCATTCATGGGGGAACTTGGCAGGGGCTGAACTGAAGGCTTCCAATGGACACAATTTTCCCACACCTCCATGCACAGTAGACACTGGTATCCTAATCCTGGCCATCAGGTTTCCATGTTAAATACCACATATGCTGTATCATATGTGATATCCTAAGAAATAGCAGGTACAGGGCAATAAGGAGATCAGGCAAGGACCACCAGCACATGCAGGGCCCGAACCCTTCCCAATTTTAGTGCGCAATGGTGACCTTGCAAACATTAAGCCCTCCATGACCAGCCCAGTGCTACTCTCTTTGCAAGCCAGCCCCAACACAGCATCCTCACTGGACCTACCTTTCCCCCGCTACCCCTCACCCATGTCAAAATCATACAGATCAGACCTTCATGTGACCCTTAATCTCCACTCTGGTATCTCTTTGCAAATCCAGGCTTAGCTCAAGCACTTTACAAGCAACATTGCTGATCTGTTTATCTCCTGCTAATGAGGGTCCATCTTCTTGCCTCTGCTAGTCTCTCCCAGACTCTTGTTCTACATAGTTATGCTATGCTTGAATACAGAATCACCCTGCAGCTTTTATGGGAGTACAGTGAAAAGTAACATCTTCGCTTTGATGAATGGGTCACAGTTCCTGGACTTAAGAGCATATGCAGGGCCACAGATGATGAATCTACCATATTGCCTGTGTTTTTTCATTCTGTGTGCTCTGTGTCGCTACAACCACTGTGCAAGGATTTGAGCTTAGGGAACAGAGCTTCTGGGAAAGGAATGTGGCTGAGGGCTGCCCATCTCAGTTATTATAGCCTGCATCTCCAAATTTTGAGTTTCAGTTTTCTTTGTTAAAAAAAGTAAGGACCAAATAGACACAATTTCATTAGTGCAATTGGCAATTGTGTGAATGCTTTGTATAAGTAAACTGTAGCTATGTGAGGCCACTGATTCAGGTCAAACTGGGCCCAAATGCAGTTGCTATTCACAATTACTGGCTCTGCAATTAACTTCAGATCTGCTTTTACTTTAAGTCTCTCATTATTTCACTGGTAAAAATATACAGATAGTATTCCACCCATTCACTCATGAAGAAAGAATATAGTAAATAATGTGAATATGAAATCTCCTGTTTCTTATTTCAGCAGTTCTGGCAGGCCCCAAACTCCCTGGCAACAAGTTTACACGGATTTCCGGCAGGCACATGAAATGAGGCATTTCCCGTTATAGAAATTGGCCTGAATTGCACTTAATAGCGCCCATGATTTTTATAAACCTTGGGTTGTCATAAACGGAGCCCCAGGCTGGTGCATGCCACCCAGTCATGGCCACTGCAAGTCTGTTGGAAGCCTGGTTGTTGTGGGGTGCAAGCTGGGTCATTGGGAAAAGCACCCCATCAATTTGCCTGTGCATTTTCCTTTTCTTTTGGGAGGATGCCACATATTTTGCCTTTTTTATGATCCACTCCAGCATAGGGAACTTTTTTGCTCAGTCCTTTGTATACCATGCGGCTGGGGACATGCTCAAGCTCAGCAGTACAATCCGATAATTTTAGATTTGGGATCCACGAAACAACCCATGGTTGGGGAATGGTGCATGGCCTTCTGGGGAACTCCAGAAGACTGCGTTCAAAACCCAGGTCAGACAGGCTCTGCACCTGTCTTACTTCAAAATATGAGCCAGGCATGCTGTGTTTGGGGGTTCCTTCACTCATTCTACAAAGTGGGGCCCTGGACTGCTTCTCCAAGGTGTTGCCCTGACGGCCCCACTGGTGTAGTTTGTGTGGGGAGAGCATGAAACTGCCAGGTCTGCTTTCTGATGCTATTAATCCCTCTTTCCCCTCTTGTGCTCACAGTTAGTTTGGAAACAATTTCTTTAATCGTTCTTCTTTCTCACTCGGCTGCTTTTGGGGCACTGTGTTAGGTGATTTGCAGGGCTTAATGTGAACCAAGGCTCACCATAGCTTTGCGCTGGAGCCAGTGATCACAGCCCCAAGTATAGAAACCTGGTTTAAAGAAAAAGTTGAAATTTCCTGGAATCTATTTTATATATACACCAGATTTCTCACCTGCTCAGAAACCCAAATGGTTAATCGCCCTACTATAATCCATAATATATAACTCTAATCGGCAAAAACCATCACCATCATTATCAACAGTGTTTCTATACCACCTGTAGGTGAAACTTCCTATATTCCAATCCTCGTCTTTTTTGCTAGTCAGCAATTGCTTACTTGCATGTGTCATTCTGTGTAAATTAAATCCATGTAGAACAATAAGCAGACCCTATAGAGGGAGTCCAAGTCTCCACAGGCTCTCAGAGGTTCTCCAATCTCCCTGTCTGTTCCAAGGGTTCCCAAAAAGTGGCACCCAAAGCAACCACCTGATATTGTCACTGACAAAGCTCATCTTGGCTGATCTTGGTCATGCTTGATGAAAGAGGATCGTGTCCACGGGCCTTCAACACTGGACCTCAGTGCATTCCTCACCTCTCCCAGCAGTTCGCAAACAACATGTGGCTTAAAGATCACACAGGGTGTGGGTAGCAAGATCCTGGTGGCAAGACTCATCTGTGTCTGAACAAGAATAACATGTAGGGACTTCTGCACATAATCAGGAACCCAAATATAAACTATTCAAACCCCAAACAAATGTTAATAGGCTGGAAGGAGCTTGTGCCCACAAGTTTATTTTCTCATTGCCTCAGATGGATAAACCTGTCCATTCCCACTTCTCCCAATTCCTCATTTTTCTAGACTTAATTTCGGTTCTTCCCAAACTTGAAGAAAAAAAACCTCAAGCATTTGCATTAAATTCATATGCGTTTTTGCGTGCACTTCTCTTAGTGTGCACATTTTGTCTGCAATTTTTCCCACTACGCCCATTTTAAAAGCCATTTTCCTAACATATCATATTTTCGATATAGCCTTCTTTAATATATGCATTTTGTGCACACATGCATTTTGGAGAACTGCACTGCGAACTTGATGAAGTGCAAATTTTGAAGGATAGCTATTGATTTGAAAATGTGTAAGTAGGTATAGTAACAATAAATTGAAAACCAAATATATTTCTCCACCATCCCTACTTAAATGTGTGTGCTCATTAACCCAATAGGTCAGTGTAAATCCAGTCACTTCAAGAGTGGCTCTTGAGCTCTCCCTCTCTTTGTAGCTGCTCATGCTCAGCAGGAGCTTCTTAGCTTTGTCTTGTTGTTTGCTTTAGCAGTGGGTGGGAACTGAGCTACCAGAGGCAGCTTTGGGTATGGGGAATCAGGAGACCCACTTGTCCAACTATAAGGTCACAGGGGGAGAAGGAGAAGAGAATGCAGGAACAACCAGTCCATGAGCTGTTGTGGGGTTGAACCCAAGAGGCAAAGAGCAGCACAACTGTGCAGTTCCAGAGACGCACTGTGCAGCCACTGGAGCTCAAGTGGGGAGTAAATGCACCAGTGAGAGAACAGTGTGAACCTGCATGGGCAGATTTTACTGCACTAAGTAGTGCAGACCACTTTTTTGGGGATGAGAAAATTCATACCCAAGGACCAAGAATAACCCTATTGCAATCTACCTGCCTGGCAACTGAGCAAAGAGGTTTTGCTTGGATGTCATGGAGAGGATTGGGAGGAAAGGCCCAGAAAGCCTCCAGCCAAGTCACTTGACCTGCTCAGCCCACAAAAGGCTCCAAGGTGACCTCGGCAGCATTTCCTGGAGCTAAAGTGACTCCTGCTTGAAAAATAGTGCTGTTCACTGCTATATGTCACCTGGAAAACATGCTAGGTGCAGAAGAATGAAGCCATGTGTTGGGGCCAGCGGGCACAGTTCTGCTTCCTCCATCTGCAAACTGAAACAGGACTTGTGACAGCAGGGAGAAATCCCAGTGACATCAGGTAACCAAATAAGCTTTCAACCAAAGAACAGGCAGGATTTTTGCAGAAATAAGCCTATTGTTTGTTGTTCATTCTGCTTCACTTGAAACTTCCAACACTTGCCAAAAGCCCTGCCAAGTTTGCCATTGCTCTGCAGCGGCCCTAAGCCTATGAGACCATTGTTGCTCTCCCGTTTGCCAAGACAAACAGTGGGAGAGGCAGCGTTATCATCGTGCCCTCCGTGGCTCTGGGTGGTGGGATGTTCCGGGCTAGCTTCCTAGTTTCCTTCTGAAGAGAGTGTGCCAAAGTTTCACAGCCTCTGCGTCAAAATCTGTTTATTTACAGCTTGAAAAAGAACAGATGGGAAGCAGCAGTCAGCCTCGTGTGCCGTTCCAAGGCAAAATCTCTAGTGGGGACTCCTTCCTACTCTAAGTGGGAGGGGTTTGTATGCAGAAGGTCTTGGGTTTGATGGCCAACATCTGCAAGCAGAGCAGGAAG